GAACCCCGCGTCTCGTGATCCTGTACGGGAGAGGGGCGATCAGGTTTTTGGGGAGCGCACTCGCGCGACTGCTGGCAGCGACGACTTCTTCCCCGACCTCGGCAACCTCGTCCTCTACGACATGGGCGACAACGTCAACGCCGGCGGTGCTGCACCCGCTGCACCGTATGTGTTCTATCCTTCCTGTTCGAGATCGTGGTAGAATTCATGCTTCTAGTATGTGCCCTAGATGTGATATGTTCATCTGCTATGCTAGTTCGCATGATTAGTTTAATCTCTGCTGCTGTGGCCATGATTTATCTTCTGTTTATTCGGATTAAATCTCGTAGTAATTTGCTCATATTTCCAACATTGTCAAAAATTAAAGCCTCTTTTGGTTTGGAGGAGTTTCATAGAAATTCTAGATGATAGGATTTTTATAGGATTTTTTTTGGAGCCCTTTGGTTCATAGGAATAGATTCCTATTCCTACATAGGATTGGTTCATATCCTCCGTATTTCATAGGAAAATAAAAATGATCCTAGACTCAATGAAAAACTTTCTTTGGTATGAACCAAATGATATCTTGTTTCCTATTTCTACTCATAGGATTTGAGATACATGTCATCTCATTTTCTACAAATTTCCTATTCCTATGATAATCCTATCCTATGAATCAAAAAAGGCCTAACACTACCAATGAGCCCATCAAACAAGGAGTATCCTTGTCCTTGTCAGAAGTTACTATGGATTCGGTGTGAACAGCTTATCGGGGTCGGCTTGACCCCGTGCCCTTCTTCCCCTTGTCTCCGAAGCCAGCCATAAATAACAGCGGCAGAAGCAGAGCAGCAAAGGAGCACAACCAAGGCGTACCTTCGACTTTGGTGGGAAGAGCTACATGTATTTGCCCATCTCATCTACCAAACATTTTGCATTCTGCAAGCAAAGCTTTTGTTTCCACCACGTGTGTGTGTGTGCGCGCTCCAAAATTGCCAAGCTTTTCCTCCCTTGGTGGACGGCTCTTTCATCTCGTGTTCTTCTTTCTCTACCATTTTTGGCTGAAATGATGCAATCCACCCTACAGTTTTCTGACTTTTTCTGCAGGTTGTAGCCATCAACCGTGTCCTTATTTTTCTTACAAATATGCTCTTGCTTACTTGTGATTTTTTATTATGGTGTGAAGAGAGAAAGGCCCGGGTTCGAGCCTGACCACCTCCTATTAAAAATTTGAGCATAGCTCCTCCAAGCAGCCTGGACACGCATAACTACAAGCGAATACTATCCCACAATAGTTTGGCATAAGAGGAGTTATTTACCTGTCTAAAGTGCATCTTAGCAACCAAAAATTGCACCTTATGCAAGTGTGAACGGTTGTTCAACAATAACAGGGTTAATATAATCAGATAATGCTATACAATGAGAGTAATAGGTTTTTTTTTGGAAAAGGAGAGTAATAGGGTTATAATCCGATAAACATAAGATGGCAGGAGATGCACACTTAATAGGGTTATAATTCGATAAACATAAGATGGTAGGAGATGCACACTTGGGCATAGTATATTTCTCTTTACGTTACTAATATCAATGATGCATACGCAGGATAAGAATATTATGGCAGAGTGAGTATACAAGTAATAACAGTTTACCAGACTTCAAGCTGAATTATATATGAAAACCATTGTACTCCCTTAGTTCCAAAATAAATGCAGTTCTATGACTTTCCTAAGTCAAACTTTCACTAACCACTATACATCCTCGCGCCTGTGGCCCCAGCATCGCAGCCCAACCAGTGCCTCCATTTGACCAAGTCTATATACAAATATATCAATATCTATAAAACCAAATTTATTTCATTATATTCATTATGAAATATATTTTCATATTATATATATGATATCATAGATCTTTGCGGATTATTCTATAGACTTGGTCAAACTTAAAAAAGTTGGACTTATGAAAATCATAGAACTTCAATTATTTTGGAACAGAGGGAGTACTAACTATTACTATAAACCACGAACCTTTTATTAGGCATAGTCTACTGCATAATTACAGTTACGGTACTGTCTTGTAATACTAGGTTGCAATTTTATGGCAAAATCTTATGACTCTGGCTCCTATGTTTTTTCAAGTCAAAACATACAAGTATGCATTCACGACTAAATTTGTTCAACATTGTTGATTGCCAGGGAGCTGCTCCAAAATGTTACCTGTTCTAAAATTTGTTCTCTTGCCATCAGTGCTCCTACTGGCATCAGCTTCACGTTTCCCGGCATTGGCATGCAACAATGAGACTGATCTAGAAGCCCTGCTAGCATTAAAGGCGGGTCTAAGCCGTCACTCAGACGCACTAGATTCATGGAACACAACTACTGACTTTCGCCAATGGCATGGTGTCAGCTGCAGCCTCAATCATGGGCAAAGGGTCTCGGAACTTAATCTCTCCTCGGCGGGGCTTCGTGGATATATAGCCCCTTCCCTGGGGAACCTCACCTACCTGAGAAGTCTAGATCTCAGCTACAATCTATTGCATCGTGAAATCCCAAGGACCATTGGGCAGTTGTCCCAAATGTCTTATCTTGACCTAAAAAACAATTCCCTCCAGGGAGAAATTCCTTGGACAATTGGCCAGCTACGACAGTTATCGCACCTCTATCTCTCAAATAATTCAACTGAAGGTGGGATCACGTATGGCCTGAGGAACTGCACCCGTCTTGTCAGCATCAAACTTGACCTGAACAAGCTCCACCAAGAAATCCCTGATTGGCTTGGAGGCTTGTCAAGGATTGAGGTCATGTCACTAGGGAAGAACAAGTTCACAGGGATCATCCCACCATCACTTGGCAACTTATCATCGCTGCGGATATTGAACATCAATGACAACCAGCTGAGTGGTCCGATTACTGAGAGTCTTAGCAGGATCAGTAAGCTTGAGATGCTAGCACTGCAAGTAAACCAACTCTCAGGCACCATCCCAAGAACTGTCTTCAACATGTCCTCGCTCATCCACATTGGTCTGGAGATGAACCAGCTAAGCGGCACACTTTCCTCCAATTTGGGCAATGGACTACCAAAAATCAAATACCTTATCCTTGCTTTGAACCATTTCACAGGAAGAATTACAGCTTCACTTGCAAATGCAACCATGATTCAGTTAATTGACCTCTCTGGTAACAACCTCACTGGATTTGTGCCTCCAGAGATTGGAACACTCTGCCTGAACTTCCTGATTCTTACTGGAAACCAGCTTAAGTCAAGCACTGTCCAGGACTGGGAGTTCATCACTTCATTAACAAATTGTACAAGTGTTCGTGGTGTCATATTGCAACACAACAGGTTTAGTGGTGTGCTTCCAAGTTCTATCGCAAACCTGTCCAGGCAACTCGAAATATTTGATGTTAGTTTCAATGAGATTTATGGCAAGATACCAGTTGGCATTGGCAACTTCCCAAATCAAATCAAGCTCGAACTACTCTCTAGCAATTGATTTACGGGTGCCATACCAGACATCATAGGAAAGTTGAAAATGCTCCAGTGGTTGACACTCGAGAATAACCATATTTCAGGAGCAATGCCATCCTCGCTCGGGAACTTAACACAGTTGCAGCATCTTTCAGTAGCTAACAATGTCTTGGAAGGATATCTTCCAGCGAACCTTGGAAATCTACAACGTCTTGTTATTGCAAACTTTTCAAACAATGTGCTTTCAGGTCCATTACCTAGAGAGATTTTTAGCCTTTCATCCTTGTCATACATTCTGGATTTGTCAAGGAATCATTTCAGTAGTCATCTTCCATCCCAAGTAGGTGGCCTCACAAAGCTCACATACTTGTACATCCATGAGAACAACCTATCTGGGCCGCTGCCAGATGCTCTCAGCAATTGTGAGAGCTTGATGGAGCTCTGTTTGGATGGTAACTACTTCAATGGTATCATTCCTATGTCCATAAGCAGAATGCGAGGCTTGGTACTGCTGAATTTGACCAAAAACGCGCTCACAGGTGCAATCCCTCAAGAGATAGGACTCATGAATGGCCTGAAAGAACTGTACCTTGCACACAATAATTTGTCTGCACAGATTCCCGAGACCTTGGAAAGCGTGACATCACTTTACCGGCTTGACATATCCTTCAACCTTCTTGATGGGCAAGTCCCAGCACGCGATGTGTTTGTCAATTTGACCGGATTCTTATTTGATGGGAATGATAAGCTGTGTGGTGGTATTTCTGAGTTGCGTTTGCCTTCATGCCCAACCAGACCAGTTGTGCACAATCAAAGAATGACACGAGTTGTTCGAAATGCAGTGATTTGTAGTGTTAGTATTGTCTTACTTCTCTGCTTGATCCTGGCACTAGTTGTCTTCTCAAAAAAGAAATTAAGACTACCATCTATCAGAACAGCACCATTAGCTCCGTCGTTCATGGATGACATGTATCCTCGAGTTTCTTACTCAGACCTGGCCCAGGCAACAGATGGCTTCACAGACAACAATATAGTTGGCACAGGACCGTATGGATGTGTTTATAAGGGTAGGATGCTACTCAAAGAGTCTGTAATTACTGTCGCTGTGAAGGTTTTTGACCCTGAGCAATCTGGATCTTCAAAAAGTTTTGTGGCTGAGTGTAAGGCACTTAGCAAAACTCGCCACCGCAATTTGGTTGGCATCAGAACTTGCTACTCTGACTTGAACCAAAATGACTTCAAAGCCATTGTATTTGATTTCATGCCTCACGGGGATCTTGGTAAGTGGTTACATCAGGACACATGTGCACCCAATCCAGTGAAAGTTCTAACACTAATGCAGAGACTGAGCATTGCTGCTGATCTTGCCGTGGCACTAGACTATTTGCACAACAACTGCCAGCCAACAATAGTTCACTGTGACTTGAAGCCCAGTAACATTCTTCTTGGGGAGGGCATGGTTGCTCATGTTGGGGACTTTGGCCTTGCGAAGATGCTCACTGATCCAGAAGGCGAGCAATTGATCAATTCGAAGAGTTCGGTGGTGGGAACAATTGGATATGTTGCTCCAGGAAACTGATTTCCTTATCCCGTTTTTAGGCCCAGCAAGTGTTGTGGTGGTTTGGCATATTACTCATGTCGTTTGTGCACTGCAGAACATGGTGAAGGTGGTCATATATCTCCATGTGGGGATGTCTATAGCTTTGGTATCGTGCTCCTTCAGATGTTTACAGCAAAGACGCCTACAGATGCAATGTTCACAGGTGGATTTACCTTACTAGAGTATGCAAAGATGGCATATCCAACACAACCAATGGAGATTATTGACCCTCTTCTGCTATCAGTTGAGAATACACGGGGAGATATCAATAGCATCATGTACTTTGTCACAAGACTTGCCCTAGAATGCAGTAGGAAAAGACCAACTGAAAGGTTGTCCACCAGAGATGTTGTAGCAAGATGAACAAGATAATGGCTTGCCATGCTGCAGGAGTAACTAGGCATGTAGTGCTCCTATTTTATTTGCCAGCCGGTTGTGGCTTTTTGTTTAGCTCTTATGAGCATTTGTTTATTTCACACTTCGAGACTTGGAGACTTGTTGCTGGATATTTTTTTATTAATATGAGCCGTATGCATCTTTTTGATGCAGAGGCTGGGGTAAAACCCCTTTTCGAAAAAAAGGCAAAGCAGTTCCGGATGATTGAACAGTAGTGCTTTAATTTCGCAAGATATGCTAGCTGCAAGAAGAAAAATCAGTTGAGGGTTAGTACAAGAGCATGTCAGACAGTAGTACGCCTTCTTATATATGAATTGTGTGCACATGTATTCATTAGTTCTCTACTTCATTAAACAATCATTGTTTCACATATTTCTACGGAAAAAACTGTCAGATAGAAGAAGCACTTATGAGCTGGCAACAGAGAAAGTAAGAAATCCTAACCACATTGTTTTGGTATTATATTTTACCAGGTTCACATGTCAAATATCCTTTCTGGCTTTCTTCGCCACAATGGACTTTGGTTCTCTGTCTGCTAAACTTATCTGCAGCCCATTAGCACTTATTCAGAGTTTTGAGTTGCAGCGGCTGTCATGTACATTTCAAGGGAAAACAAAATTTCAAGAAAATCAGTTTCTTACTTGGGAACATCAAAATATAAAGTGCTTAGTTAGTAATAATAAAATGCAGTGATCTAGGGAGAAAGCATAACTCTGCTTCATTTGGAATAGGGGGCACAACCGGAAAGTGAGATAACTAAAGTCTTTAAAAATATGAATGTGCAAGAATTCTGATGAAAATAGTGTTTAGTTTCCACCTTGATGTTCCAGATTAGAAGGCTTGTCTTCAGTTTCTTGCTAGAGCTGCATACAGGGAGTCAAATAGGACAGTTCACTCAGTTTCACTATAACATATTGCCTTTTTTTGCACAGAACATATTTCTTTTTTCTTGCCTAGGTATGAGAACATGACTACATTTATTTATACCTAAGATCACCAATATATGCATGTGTAGTTTCCCAGAGCACTAGCCATTTCATGCAACTCCTCGAAAGAATACTCAAGGGATCAACAGGTCATATTCGTCGAGTACTAACTGGAGCAGCGATCAAAGAGTAGGAGCAACGCCCCTCCTCCTCACCCCCCCCCCCTCTTCCCTTCCTCGTCGCCGCCTGAGGCAGCCGCCAGGCAAGCCCGGGGCGCCAAGGATGGTGGCGGCGGGGCCTCGGTTGCCCTGCCTCTGCGTGGGGAACCCCGGATCTGGAGCGGCGGCTCCATTGGCAAGGCACGGCCGGCTAGCAGTCGTGCGGGCTGTGGGTCTGGCGTCCCAGCCGCATGGGCGGCGGGATCCGGTGGTCATTGGCGGCCGGCGGCGGCTTCTGCGGCGGTCGGTGCGCGTGATCTGGCGCCTCCCCTCCTCCCCTGTTCGGCGTGCGGGCTAGCCTAGTCGGGCCGCGCTTCCTCTTGGTCGCCGGTTCTGTACGGGAGGCGCTGCTGGTGGCGGGATCTAGTTCGGGTGAAATCCCTGGCCGGCCATGACCGGCCACGCCGACGGCGACGCCTGAGGGCGCCGTTCCCCTCCTTGGAGGCGTCGGTATGGATTGATCTCCTCACTTCCCCTTCCCCTAGGTCTCCCGGGCGAAAGCCCTAACTTTGTTGGGTGGCGGCGGCGGTGCTCACGGCGCAGTTCCCTTCTTGAAGGCGTTGCTTTGGGAACCTTGGGGTTGGGTGGCGCTCGTGGGTGGTGGGCGATGGCGGTGGTGCGGCCCCATCCTAGCATGGATTTACATCCGTTGCTTGGAGATGGACTCGCGTAGGTGGAGGTTGTCGTCTGGCGTCGTGGTGGTATCAATGGCAGAGGACCTGCCAAGGCTCGCATAGGTGGAGGTCGTCGTTTGGCGTCGTGGTGGCGTCGATGGCGGAGGAACTGCCAAGGTTGTCACCTTAATCTGCTCTGAAGATGGACTAGTGAAAGATGGCGGCGACGAGCTTCGGACCGGTTTGAGCCCTGGACTCGGCAGATGGCTCGGTCGGGGCCTCCGGCTTTAGATGTTAGGCTTAGGTGAGAGGTCTGGATATGTGGCCCAGCTTGCACCCCTTCATCATTTGGATAGGAGTAGCGGCAGACGTTGCCAAGATGACGGATTCAGACAGATTGTTATTCTATTTTGTAAGGTCCTAAAAAATAATCAATAAAATGGCCGCATGCATCTCCCGGATGCAGAGGCCGGTGGTCATCCTCCTTTTCTAAAAAAACTAACTGGAGCAGCCACACTCAATGTAATGCCCGACAATTTGAGATTATAGAAGGAATTTTCCTATTTCTTTATTAAATGGTACAGTGTATGATTTCTCAAGAGAATTAGAAAAGTCCATAGGTTTGGCACAACCAAGTAAAAGCCGGCATGAAATTTTAATGAGACTATGTTTCTTTACCATAATGAACTGCAGTCCATGTCATTAAACATTCTGAACCTTAAAATGTTAGTCAGACCACAGAGAAGTAGGCATCCTGAATCCCTACGAAATATGTAAGATTTCTCAAACTTCGTCAGGTAAGTCTATAGGTTTGGCACAACCAAGTAAAAGCAGGCATGATTTTTTACTGAAACTATCTTTATTTACCATGATGAACTACAGTCCATGTCAACAAACATTCTGAAGCTTAAAATGTTGGTCACACCCCAGAGAACTTGACATCCCACAATCCCTGCAAAATATGTGTGTCGAGGACTCGAGGTAGACCACTAGAGAAGTTAAAGCTGGAGAACCCATAATCATTCATCGAGCCCGTTCCCTTCTTCAATGCAGTTCCAATATAAACATTCACTTAGATCTAGGAGTAGTACTAAATCCAAAATTGCAAACCTTTACGGATCAATGCCGCCAACAAGGAATCCATACTTGAATTTTCCGTACAAACCTCCAGTGTCCAGTCAGCCGTCGTATACAGCCTGAACAGGAGAGGAGGCGAGGAGGAGGCAGTACTTTGGTGTCGGGCAGCAACTTCAGGTACCGGGCGAGGCAACGGCTCCCCAAGACAGAGTCCAGCGCGACGCAGAGGGCGCTGCCCGATTCTTGGACGGTGGTGCAGACAAGAAGCTCTAGCGGGAGGTGGCTGGCGCGGGCGGCGAGGAAAGATGGATAGTCGGCGAGGCGGAGGCAGCGGAGGACGACGTGGGCGGGGAGGCGGAAGAGGATTTCCGCGACGTCGTCGTCGAAGAGTTCGCCGCGCTGCTCCATCGTCCTCAACTCGTCTTCGAAATGGCGAATCTCGCCGCCGTCGCCGACACGTTGAGAGGCATCCGGAAAATATTCTGCGCCATAGGGCCTCATAGTCTCCGCCCTGGCTCCCTCTAGCTCCGCCGTGGTGGAGCTCACTGGGATGTTGATGGAGGGAGTATTTCACAAAAAACTACCATATTAAGAGTTGTCGTTCCACAGAACTACCGCATTTAAAAAAGTGACTGATAACTATCAAAAATTTCTAATTTTGTGACTAAAAATTATCATTTTTGAAAAATGGTCAGTTTAGACGATTTAAACACGTTTATGACATGCAGAACCCACCTGTCAGGGCTGACGTGGCGGTAAAGTCAACTCTGTTTATTTTGACCGTTGAACTGACCGTTATGACAGGTGAGGCCCACACGTCATTCTTCTTACTCTCTCCATCTCTCTTCCCTGAACTCTCTATCCCGAGCCACCATGCCCATGCCACTCTCACCAGCGTCGCCGCCGCCAAGCCTACATCGAGCCACCATGGCCATGCCTGTCACCGCCACGCCCAGACTCAGTCGTCCCCTTCCTGCACTCCTGCGCTCGCCCAGGTCAGCTTTGATGTGCAGTTGGTCGACCACGGCAATATGGGCGACGCCGGCAAGAATTTTGTCGTGCTGCTGCTGCTACCTAGACCTCGGTACCGTGGCTGCCAAAGCAAAGCAGCCTTCGCAAGGAGCAGCGGCAAGCAACAATGGCAAAGAGCAGCAGCCCCGGCAAGGAGCAGCAGCCGCAAGCAGCAGCATCGGGAAAGGAGCAGCAGCGGCGGTGGCAAGCAGCAAGAAGGAGCAGCAGCGACAACCAGCGGGAAGGAGCAGCAGTCGCAAGCAGTAGCCGAAAGGAGCTATGCACCACTTGGAGCTCGGCCGCTCTGCACGCAGGAGCTGTGTAACACTCCGGATGTAACCTTATTTATATTCCAACTCTTGCCATTTTCGGCACTAAGTTATTTTATTTCCTCGTTGTCGGGTTTTTGTCTCCGTGTGTTTTGTCTTTGTCATGCATCTCATATCATGTCATCATGTGCATTGCATTTGCATACGTGTTCGTCTCATGCATCCGAGCATTTTCCCCGTTGTCCGTTTTGCATTCCGGCGCTCCTATGTTCTCCGGTGTCCCTTTCTACCTCTTTTCGTGTGCGGGTGTAAAACGTTTTCGGATTGGACTGAGACTTGTCATGCGGCCTTGGTTTACTACCGGTAGACCGCCTGTCAAGTTTCGTGCATTTTGGACTTTGTTTGATACTCCAACGGTTAACCGAGGGACCAAAAAGGCTTTGTGTGTGTTGCAGCCCAACACCCTTCTAAAGTGGCCCAAAACCCACCTAAACCTCCTCCAATATCTAGATCGTTCGATCACGATCGCGTGGCCGAAAACCGCACCTCATTTGGAGCTTCCTAGCTCCCTCTACCCCTATATAAAGATCCCTACATTCCAAATCCGGGCGAGACCCTAGCAAATTCTACCCCGCCGCCGCCGGACGAATCCTCGCCGGACGGACATGTCCGCCCCCGCCGCCGACCACTCCTGACGAGCCATGTCATCGCCGCGCGCCCCACTTCGCCGCGGATCCCGCCGGCCCGCGGAACCCGCCCCAGGCCACCGAGGCCCATCGGTCGCACCGCCCATCTCCTTCCTCGCGCCGCCCGCGCCCTCGTCTTCCTCCTCGAGTCCGGCCACCGCCCGCC